CCTGAGTACACAACACCAACACAGAAAAAAAATCAGTCGTATGATTTCTAATCATACAAATTAGCTATTCAGCCTTTGCAAGTAGAATCACAACACATAATTCGACGTAGTTATTTGATGTCCGCCATTTGGGGTGGCAAGTATTTAAAGTTAAATAAAAACATACACGGCATCAAGCAGCCGCCAAAATTTTGCAGATTTACTTGGGTAGAGCTCCATTTGATCGCTCTTATTTAAGAGCGGTTGTCTGTAATAGTCAGGTAAGACGTGTAAAATGAAAAAATTCAAAATCTTTCAAACTTTGTCAGAATGTAGGCCTATATGAAGTATTAATGTTGTGAAAGTTTTATTTCGATCGGATAAATATTGAAGGAGAGAGACGTCGAAATTGGTTTTCCCAGGCCACTTTCGGTTTTTAGAGGTCATTTTACGGCACTACCAAAATCGCTCTATTTTGCACGTTAATGGGAATATTTCACGAAATATGATTTCGTTTTATAAATTAGAGTTATTTATTTAGTAGCAGACGAAATTTAGAGACATTTCTGTAAAAAGTGAATATTTTACAGATTTTCTTAATGTTTTTATTTTTGAACCTCTTTATTATATGTCATATGAGGCAGCGAATATCTCCATTGTTACATCGATTCAGACAAAAAATTCATAACCAGGTCAAAGAAATATCTTTTTGCTTGCTATTGATCAAATAAAATTTTGGGGCAACGTAGAATTGAATTTTTGACGAATTTTTTCGTAACCCCTATTTGACCCGAATAACCGTATGTTATGTAATCAACGTCGAGTCATGTAGTTCTATAAATAACCAAAGAGCTCGTCAAAAGCGTTTACTTCTTCGAGTAAACAAGCCTAGGCCTATAAAACTACCTTAGCTAAAGCTGTACGATTGGCAGAAAGCATTTAGGTCTAAATCACACTGTTTACAGTCGCTTATTGTTCAGGTAATGCCTATAATATATTGTATAGCCGGCGCCGCTGATTTGGCGGATTTGGTTTTAATTATATTTTATCGGG